CTATCCTGTAACAATTTCTATATCGGTTTCACAAAGTTGTTAAATCAGTGTGTGAAGCCTTGTAGTCGTTTAATTTTTCGTAGCTTTGACAGTGTGAAATTCGATACTTCAGCTTATAATGAGCTTTCAAATTTATTTCTCTACCTCTTTTGGCGCCCCCTTTAGGTCGGCGCCCGGGACGGCCGCCCCACCCGCCCTCCTCTAGCTACGCCTCTGTGTTCTACATTGGAGAGTGGGGAGCTAATAAAATGTGTCGTGGCATTCACGTGGTAGTAATTAAAATTAATAAATAAACGTAATTTTTCTTCCCATTTATGGTTATCTAATGAGGTAGCCTACTTATGAGTGCGGGGAATGAAATCCACTAAGAGAAACCGATCAGAAATTCAATCATTCTAGGCAGGAGGTGTCAACGGGTCATATTGCGCATAACTTTTTGACGTGTAATACTTAATTGTGTTGAAAGCTCATGCAAAATGTAAGTAGGAAAACAATCAGTCACATAATTTGCCTATTGTTTATAAGTAAGTTTCATAACACAATATTTTGACAGGCTATTATCAAATTATGGAAAACGTGACAGCAGTTTACAAAAAAGAAAACAAAAGACTAAGAAGAAAAAAACACGTTTATTTACTCTATGTACCAGAAGCAATACCCCCCCCCCCCCCCAAAAAAAACCACTCCTCTCCCATTCAATTAAGCAAGGATAACTAATTTCAATGAATTGTAATAAATTACCATTAGATTGACAAATAAACCATTAATAAAATCAAAAGGCTATTAAACCAAGGACACAACATATTTTAAAAAGGCTTTGTTCAAGTAAGGATCAGTTAAAAATAATAATAAAGAAAACCTATTTAATCACGGAAAAATATGTCCCATATTAAGGCGCTAACATTTCGCCATCAACCAGTCACGAACAGACCTACGACTTGTCTGATAACACTTGCAAGTAGCTCCAGCTGATTGTGTTTGTCCAACGTTTCTGATCGCAGCCTTGACTTAATTAAGATAATTATCGCAGGAGGGGGTGGGGGTGGGCAACTTTGGGTGTCGTTAACTGTACTAACTCTTCCGCTCATATGCTGAGAAAGACGATTCTACTCCTGGGGTGGATGCTCGAATTCACCCCCCCCCCCCCCCCCTTAATGCTATACATTCATGTTTAGTGATGTAAATTCGATAAAGCACGCAACGAAGAAGTCCATTTATTGACGTCCAATGCAGACTGCTATGCAGTGTTTCTTTCGGACATTTCCATTTTCTCCGTGGGGGGGGGGGGGGGGGGACGACGACGACGACGAAGACGGACGGCACTGTCACATTGACGTCCTCCATCTTCTAATGACGTTTTTGCCTCACCCTCCTTACACCGTGCATTATTGTTTTTGATAGGGCCTTGGCTAGTTTGACACGTCCATACCACCATCGTTTTTTTGTTTTGTTTCGACTATACCTAGCAGGTTCTCAAAGGGATAAATCACATTAAAGAACCATTAATCTTTGCAAGGTGCATATACTTCACCATAAGTCCTTGCTAGGGGCATATACTGAACCATAAATCATTGCAAGGGGCATATATGGATCCAACCATTTTTACATATGGCATATACATAATCATCCAACATTGCTATGGCCATGTCTGAACCATCCAACATTGCAATGGCCATGTCTGAACCATCCATCCTTGCATGTCATTTACTAAACCATGCAACATTGTAATAGGCATATGGCTCATAATGAGCCAACTCGTAACTGCAAGAGACGCATTTTCAACAGTCATCATTGGATGCATATAGTGTTGTTAAAATAGAGTTATCATGACGAGTAGAAAGGCAATCAACCATCTTAAAGTTTTCTGGTGATGTCTAAACAGACAAGTGCCAGCATACTTAAACCAACATCTTTAACAAAGGAGTTGGATTACACATTCATACAAATACAATCAAGATCTTCAATACAACACAATTTTGTGAATCAAGATCTCCAACAACTGTATAACACTTGTCCATCAATGCTTTCAATACAACACAATTTACCATAAAGATATCCAATACAAAAACACTGTTCATCAAGATCTTCAATACAATGTCCACCAAGATATTTTTATGTTTGTCCATCAAGATATTCAATATTTGTCCATCAAGATATTAAATACATTTATCCATCAAAATCTTCAATACAAAAACACTGTCCATCATGATTTTTTAAAACAATATAACAGTTAGCCTCTCAGCACTACAGATGCCCACCAATATCTTTAATGAAACAACAATGGCTTCAGCAGAGTTGAAATGATTTTAATGTTCTAGTCTACAAAAACAATGAAAGAAAAGAAAAATGGATTACAGATTCCAAGTAAAGAAAACAATGCCACTCCTACATGCAGTGACTAGGTCTATACATCTGTACATAAGTATCCTTTATATTACCCACAGCAATCTCCTTATAACTTATACTTTTTCTAGTCAGGTATATCATAAGAAAAGATGCTTAAAGACTTTAACCCATAGGGTTAGGTTTAAAGTGAGGAATCATTAGCAATAATAGCAGTACAGTGATGAAAGGAAGGGAGGGGGTATAAATAAAATTATAAAATGTGCAGTACTATAAGTGAATGATTAAATAAAGACTAGCAAGGTTACAAATAGCATAGAAAAGCATAGAAAAAAAATCAGTCATAGTTTCTAACAAATGAAACAAGATAAAGCAAAGCTACCAAGTGTTTAGGTGTATATGTTACTTGTAAATTAAACTGGACAAACAACAACAGCAAGAGAGATGAATTCAGCAGCAAATGTTGTACAATGGTAGACATAGATGCTGTAGTGGAGTAATGTTGAATTACTAGATGTGTAAGCCAGTAGTAAGTCCTGTGATGTGTTGTTTGAACAGAGATAAGCTCAGCACATGACTTCAGTGTCTACAAGATAATCTGATACACAGATAATCAGCTGGCTAATCATCTAGATCAGGGGAGGTCAGCCACTAGAACAATTGCATTTGGGAGGTGTGTCCTGAACTTTGTTAAAGTAAGGGAGAGCAGTCCATTTCATTTGAGAGGTGTGTCCTAATCTATATTGCAATGGGAGGTCAGTTAATTTTAATTTTAGAGGTGTGTCCTGAAAAATTGCAACTGATGAAGCCAGTTTTAATTTTAGAGGTGTGTCCTGAAAAATTGCAACTGATGAAGCCAGTTTTAATTTTAGAGGTGTGTCCTGAAAAATTGCAACTGATGAAGCCAGTTTTAATTTTAGAGGTGTGTACTTAAAAATTGCAACTGAGGAAGCCAGTTTTAATTTTAGAGGTGTGTGCTGACACATATGGTACACATGGGAGGCAATCAATCACTACATAACAGAGCTATTGTCATAATTATCATATCAATAACCAGTCACATTAACACTGAACAAAGTCCTCAAGTAGCTACTAATTAATGAGTAATTGTTCAAGCTTTAAATTATAAATGTCAATATAGAAAATCAATAAGAACTGTAAATTCTAGGTGACCATTGTCTGAAACTAAATTACAAATTTCAAATAAATACTTAATTTACACTTTACCAAAAGCATGCTACACAAGCATTAAATAAAATTTAATTTTAAAAAATCTGACCAACAAAAGTTCTATTGGTTTTGGAAATTTTGACATATTTTCAAATTTTTCCAAATTAAAAATAAAAAATCTCAATAAAGTTTATCATGCAAAAAACAGAAAAATTTATATATGTGCACAACTAATATTTTTAATATTGCAATCAAATATTTTTTTAGTGTGATTATTTAAAATAAACAGTCACACACAAATATATTAAATTAGTCATGTAGCTTAATTATGCAAAAACAGGAACAAATATTTTTTAAAAAAAAATTTAAAAAAAATAATGACAAATAAATAAACATTATTATGTGAAATTACATTTGATAATAATGTGAATCAGAGGAAAAAATGTAACAAAACGTGAAACTAGCGGGGGCTAAACAGCTTGTCTAGTAACAAAAGACATTGAAGAAGGATTGTCAAAGATAAAAGCCAGCCTCATTTCAAATCAGCCAATCAAAACCTTCCTATGTCTAGACCCATCTTAGATGTCATTAGATGATAAACAATTTCAAGGCCATTTCATGCATTCCATCCTATACTCAGCACACTAAGTGCAACAGATATAAAACAAACTAGAAAGAAAAATGTAGGCTTGTTACTAAAAAAACATGAAATAATAATGTAAAGAAATAATTATTATTATAAACTATAGCTATGTTACTTGAGCAAAGTTTAGAACATATAAAATTTATAATTATTCTATTTTTTAGCAGGAATGGTGATGTATTTCATTTAATTTGTGCATTATATGAGATTTAATTGTGCATTGTATGCTATTTAATTGTGTGTTATACAGGTGTATAAAAAACATGGGAATGTTGCCATGAGCTGCTGTTAAGAAATAAAAAAAATTTACAATAGTTATTTGTTTTATAGCAAATAACTATTGTAAATTTTTTTTACAATAAAAAAAAAAAAGCATGGATTGGAATAAAGCATTCAAATAGCTGAACACTTAAAAACTAGTTTTCAATACTATAACTTTAACCTATACAGTTTTTACATTGTAACATATCAAAAAAGTTTTAAAAAATATCTTAATATCTATTTAATAAATTAATGGTACAGAAAGTTTTTCCCCTAAATAAAGTTTTTACATATAATTTTCTTCCTTTTTCTTTACACTAGCAATTATTACATGGCTAAAGGGGGGTAACGCTATTTATTTAAAAACAAATGTGTTTGAAATAAATCATCGATACACTATCCTACTAAATGGAAAAAAACTTAACAGACATTAAAATAAAGTTTTTACGCATCAATTTCTTCCAGTTTCTTTACACAAGCTATTATTGCATGCCTCAAGTACGATAATATCATACATTTAAAAAAAATATTAATAAAACATTAATATACTATCCCAGTAAATGAAAAAAAAAATTGGAAAATTCTACAACTGTGTTTCCCCTTTGGCTAAAGAAAATCCTGACTGTGAGCTAGCCTTAGCAGGGGAAGTAACTGGAACAACATTAGCAATTTTATTTCTGTGCTGTGTTAGGGAACCTGGCTTTAAGGCAGGTTTGGGCTCAGCCTGCACCTGAAGCTGCTGGAAGAACTTCCTTCTCTCGGAGAAACTTGGGACCCTGTTCTCCTGGCTGGTCCTACTTCTGCGTCTGGCTGTGGCTGTATTTTCCACCGCGGGGTTGGTTTTGCTTCTTCTACGAACAGCCGAGTCTGCGTCGCTGGTGACCGTTCTGCTCCTACGTTTATTGCCAAGGGAACTGTTGTCTCCATTGACAACATTACCAGCCCTGCTCAGCTGTTTGTCAGTTTTTTGTGCTGTGAGTATTGATTGTCTGGGTGAATTTTTTAACACGCTGGAATCTCTCCTCACAGCGTTGATATTTCTCTGGATAAAATTGGCGTTGGATTCCCTGCGGGATTTCATATTCTTTTCAACCGAGCTTCTCCGTTTAGCAGAAGTTGTGGTGCCAGAATTGTTCACGTTCAGCTTTCTTTGTGCCAGAGATAAGACCTTGGCAGGTTTAGGTAGAATGGCTGGCTTGGCTTTCACAGGGCTTGGCAAGGGAAGTAACTTTTGTTTAATGGAGCAGAACTCTTGTCTGGCCTGTGGTAACTGGACAGACGTGACAACAGTGGATGCCACTCTGTAAACCTGTGTGTACTCCGACACAGGGGTGGGTTTTATTTCCTGCTGCGGCTTAGCTTCTGGATGTGTCTCATCTAATGAACCATGGATGATGTCCTTACTGGATAACGTATCCTTAGAACTATGAACGTCTTTATGGGACGAAATATCCACAGATTCATGGACATAGTTTTTAAGACAGGACGAAGTATCATCCACAGAGTCATGGATACTATCCTCGCATGACAAAGTATCATCCAGGACAGATGAGCTGAGCAAGTACTTGTTGTAAGCCGACCTAAAGGACTGCTTCAGCTTGCCTCTACTGCTCCTCCTCCTCTCTGTGATCCAGCCATCGTTATCTACAATTTTTGGACTGGCTCGAATGCTCTCCAGCCTCTCTAAACCAGACTTTTTCACTGCCACATTTTCAGGGCTGGAACCTGGACCAGCATGTGTCTCAGCCCTGTGTTTCTCAGAAAACATTTCTCCTGCTGCAGCTTTATGTGAGTGGGAGGTAGAGGGTGACTTACAGTTAGCCACAAAATTAAAGGTTTTCAATAAGGAAGATTTGCCAGGGGAGGCCACTCTCTCATTCCATAATTTAGCTTCCAGCTCAAACTCATCAATAGCAGTGGAGAGTTGCGTACTTGTTACATCTTTTTGAAACAAAGCAGGTTTATTTTCATAGTGGCCGGAGACTATGTTACTGGGTGTTAAGTTATAAACAGGAGCTTGTTGAAGATTTACGGAGTCAGGTATTTTATCATGTAAGGAATTAGTTTTGTTGATACAATTAGCTTGCTTTGAAATGTTATGGCTGGTGCTCATGTATTGATAGGTTAATTCAGGACTTGGTGGGGGTAGCTTCTGCAACATATCCTCAAATTCTGTGTTCATATCTCTTGTAAACTCCTCAATTTGTTCAGTCAGAAGGGACAAACTTTGGTTGTTAATATTTACATCATTACTTTCGCCATACATATCTTGAGTAAAATTTAGGTCAGGATCTGAACAAGCTGAGGGATGTGTATCCATCTTGGTCAGTACATGGTCAGTTTGTGGGTTCAAAAGGTCATCCCCACTGGAGTAGCCCTCACTCTCACTCATCTCACTAGCGCAGATGGCTGCAGTCTTTTCTCCAAGTTTGAATATCAGTTTTTTAGGGAGTCCTAGGGACAGTTGGGGTTCAAATAGTTTCTTAGGAGGAGAAGACTTGATCGATGGGCTTTTGAAAAGTTTTTGAGGGGAAAGGGTTTTGGTGGGGTTAGTTTTTACAGGCGAAGATAGTTTGTAGTCATTATTGAAGGTTTTTAAAGGAGAATTGGCTTTCCCCTCAGTTCTGGTATTCCGTGTGAGGGTTTGATCTACAGACACTTTGACAGAAGATTGAGGGGAGGCAGACGGCTTTCCAGACACCCGTCTGCCAACTTGTCTTGTGGGGGATAAGGGAAATAACCTTTCCTCCGCTGGTGGAGGGGATGGAAATTTATTTTCATTTAATTTCTCATCGGTTCTTTTCTTCAAGTTAATAACAGGTGCAGAGAAAGATAATTTTTTTGGTGATATTTTATCCGGACTTTGAGTTTTAACTGGTGATTTTGATGGTGATTTTTTAGGCGGAGAAGTGTGGGTGGACAAAAAAGTTTCAAATTCCTTTCTGTCCAGCGTTTGTTTGGTAATAATGACCGGGGATGGCACAACGGATCGTGATGAAGATCTCCTTCTAACTGCAGAGTTGCCTTCAGTTTCCTTGACATCTTTGGCAAAGGAAACTCTTCTTTTGGGTGAGGACATGTTTAACTTGCCGAATGTTAAACCCTTACCTGGGGTTGTGCTGAGACTGGACGACCGCCGCTTAATTCTCCTCCGTGGGAATTTGGGCGACTCCTCCAGTTTTTGAACCTGTAGAACACCCAGCTCCGCATCATCTTTTCTTTTAGAAAAACTATTAGCTTCCGCCTGCAGTTCCAGACTGTCGTCATGTTTAACTTTATTCCTAGTGGTGGGTCTAAGACTTCCTGTCAGGATAGACAACTTAGTTGCACTGCTCTCCCCCTCGTCTTGAAACTCCACAGTATCTCCAGCACAGTTTGGCCTCACATTACCCTTGGCTTTCTTTGAAGGTGTGGTCTCCTGCTGAGACGAGCCCACACTCTCTTGGGAACGTCTTTTCTGGCCACTGCCTTCATCTCCCACGCCTGGTATGTCAAAAAACATAGGCTCGACAACTGCGGGAATAAATTTTTCTTTTTCTAACGTTACAGGTTTAGGACTTAAAACTGTAGTGAATAACTTTTTCGGACTAAAACGTTTCTCAGGCACCGGTGGTGGAAATGCAATGTCAGGTTTTTCTTCAAACAGAACTGGCTTGGTTTTCTCTCTCTCATATTTCACTGGCATGGTGTATATATCCTCCATGCTCTTCGATCTCCGCCGGTTAAAAGTTGACTTCTTCACAACTGGTTGTTTGATGTCTGAAGTCTTCCAGTTCTGGTACTTGGACAGGGTGCAGTAGTCGGATTCTTGGAAAACTTCTCCGGTGATCTCGGAGTAAATTGGTGAGATGGAAGTGGTGGGGACGGCGTCCAGGACAGTCTCGTAAACTGGACTTTGCTCAGTGAGCTTGTTCCAACCTGCGACCCACTTCTCGCGCATGTGGTCAGTATCCCCATCAGAGGCAGCTGTCAAGACATTAAGTTCAACATGTAAATGATATAGCTAAAAATTTAATTATGATGAAATTGTTGCTTTTTTTAAATTTTAACTTTTAAGATGGATAATTCAGATATATTAACCTGCTAATGAAATTAAAGATAAAATAAGTATAACATGCTATTTTCAGTAAAATTTAATAAACATCCTACATTGAAGAAAAAACAACTAAAAAATTTACAAAGCATAGTGAAAATTTCAAGTTAACGAAATGTGTAATGAAAAAACCAAATACAGATTAGCCTTTAACCTACCTGATACGCAACTGCTGGGATGAGTTTTGGAAACTGAGAAAGAGTTTGACTTGCGTAGATCTTGTGACAACTTTGGGCACTTTGGACTGAAGACAGGACGTTGAACTGTCGTGGCATCTCTGGCAAGCCAGGGCTGGGCAGAGAACTTGTACAGGCTTGTGACTGGAGTCCTGGGTTCAAACACAATTCTTTGTTACAATTACCTCATTGATTTACTAATATATATATATATATATATATATATATATATATATATATATATATATATATATATATATATATATATATATATGTTAAAAGGTTGCTTAGTAGCTGACAATTAAATTACAAACAGTCATTTTTTTTTTACTTGAATGTTAGCTAAGGCTTTTTGCAATTGTTAACTATTAGAATCTTACGAGCGTGAAATAGTGGCAAATTTCTGAGGGCTTGTGCTACATGACTGGCTCTGAAAATGAAAACAGTACAAATACACATTTGATTTCTACATTAATGACATGATCACCTAAATGCTAGTAGGGAAAAGACCATGATTTTGACACTTCCTCCTTCCCAGACGTTGAAAAACTCAGATTCAAACACAATGATACCAGCATGTAGAGCTGAATGAATAGCACCCAAGTTGCAGTTTTATAGACTAACCATAAAAAAATGGGATGGTATGATTCAATTACTCAACCAGAGTCAGGCCAATGCTACTAAGGTAAAGAATATACAGGACTTCACATTCCAGGGTGTATAATGAGGGGATGTGGTTAAAAAAGTGTGACAAAATAATTTTGCATTTGCAAAATAAACCTCCATTGGGCCGATGAAGTAGAGTTTGTTTCTTTGGCATGTCGAGTACCCACCAGAGCTGGGTGTACTCAGGGAAGTCCTACAGTCTCAAGTTTAAACTGACATCAAACCATCCAAACTCTAGACATTTGTGTTAGCAGTCAAATGCACTACCATACTACCACACATTTTAAAATGAAACTTTTGATACAACTTCAGCAGTTATTTTGCATTTTTGAAGACTTTTTGATTTTTAAATTGCTATAAAAGTTGATCAACGCACCCTAAGTAGTAAGTTAATTGACATTTTAGAATGATGCCATTTCAAAATGGAATTTCAAACTTGAGGCCAAAAGAGTGATATCATTGGGGGGGGGGGGGGGGGGGGGGGGGGGGGGAGGAGAAGAGAGAAAGAATCGGACTTATTTTTCGTGACAAATGTAGGGAAGAGGTAAAAAAAAATAATAATCTGTAGATGAACCCTAACTATTCCTCATCAAAATTGTGGAAGTCAAACATATTTTCTTAACTTACATGATCATAATGATGTGTATGAACATGATCATAATGATGTGTGTGAGCATTCCTTTCTTTAGCTGTGAAATTCATCTGTGTTAAATCTACCTGTAGATTGTAATGATTAGAAAAAAATTATTTTAAAATGAGAACTATTAAAATCTTGAAGCTTGCAACATTATCTATACAAATAATTGTAACTGTTCACAAACCTGTTGTGCTAAAAATGCCGGACTAGAAAAAGGATTCTCCGGAGCTTTTCCAAAAGTTGAAAATGGAGAATCCGTAGTTGATCCTATTGAACTAACAGAAGAAACTGGTTCACATGCCACAATACCTTCTCCCATAGGACAAACAGACATATTAGAGGGACCTGCCAGTTTTTGCAGAGTTTTGGGACCAACATTTTCAGCATCTCTGTTGTAGTATTTAGCTGGTAGCTTCTTTTTGTTCCACAGCTTCATAAATGTTTTAAAGTGAGACTTTAACTTGGGGGACTTCATCAGACTGGGATCCTTCTTCTCCTGTAACACAGAATAAAAATAATTAAACAAAGCAAGCACCAACAACAGAAAGACTTTAAATATTTTAAAATATAAATATGCTCTCTATAGGACTGTTGGTCAGACACTTTATACTTTATCTACAAAAATTAACACTACAGGTTTTTGATGTGCAAACACCAGAATCTCTATTATAACACTTTTTTTGTTATTATAGAGACTGTATTCAAATAACACATATTGTCAAAATAGCTCAATGAATCAAAGTTTTTAGCAACCTGTTCGTGAAGCCACATTTTTAATTCTTCCAGCTTACTGTGGTAGTCATCCATGGATATCAATTCTAAAAATAAATAGAAAAAACATTGTTTTAAACAGACAGTTAGTTTGAATAAATCTTCAACCATTTTGGTTTGCAGATTATGTTATGTTTTTTTTTAAACAGATAGTTAGTTGAAATTAATCTAGCACAGTTCCGGCCTGCGGTAAAGCTATTAAAATTATATATATAACAACATCAGGCTTAACGTGTAGGAAATGTACTAGAAAATGAATATACCAGTGTTTAAGTAAGGAAAGTGTATTTAAAAAAAAAAGGTTCAGGTGAATAAAACACTTTAGGTGATAAATTAATAAGTATTTTCTTACCATTTGGGACTATTTCTTTTTTCTTTTGTACTTTGTAACTTGCACTTGTTTGAGAATTAATGCGTTCTGATTTGTTTTCCTTATCATTCTTTCCAAAATCTATTGATGAATAAAATTACATTTTTTTTTAGTTTGGTCAATAATCCTGTATATAATAACATGCAGCAAAGTAGACAGTCAAAATTTTAAAACGTTAATCTATATTTGTGCATAAAGGGGACCAACCTTGATCAATGATGATGAAAGAATCATCCACATCCTTAACTCTGCAATACTCTCCATCAAAGTTACCATCATCTGCTGCCTGCTGTAAATTTGGACAAGAAGCACTTCGTCGTCTTGAGGATTTCAAGTTATCCCGTTTAATCCCAAATAATCGACTGCAGCAATAGAATTAATTATTTAAATGTTGAATGATACAGATTACAGACTAATACCATTTTGATTTTATTAACTTTGTGCAATCTACGGTATAAAAATCATGATATTATGAATTATTCCTAGTTAATATTTGTTACATCTATGATTCACTGAGAACATTTAACTTTGGTGAGGTTATTTTAGTAGCCTACTGTTTAGTTAGTCTAGTAGAGTCTCTAGACTAGAGTCTAGTCATCTACTCATCTAGTTATTCTAGTATCTAGATTTAATATTGATTGATCTAGATTTAACTCACTACAAGTTACTGTTTTTTCCACTTTTCCATTTTAGTAATTTTAAATTTTTAGTTACTAAGTTACTAGATCTAGACTAGACAATACTAGAGATCTATTTAATATTTAACAGTTTTAACTTAGATTTTCTTCTAGTTTCGGCTTACTTTAGACTTTACTTTTACTTTACTTTACTGCACTGCTTTTGACGTTTTGAGTGAGAGTTGAGTCACGAGTGCTTGCTGCTTACCTGAACATATTTTTTGTTTTACGCTGCGGCCTTTGAAAATTACTTATTGATCTATAACTTTTTAGCCATTTTTTAAAGTATAAAGTTAGAAGTTAATATACTAGATCAATAAATCTAGTCTTCATTTAGATCTAGATTCTAGATGATCTAGTTTTCATTGAAATAGGTCCAGATTGTTTATTGTTGTCGATTTTACATTTGAATGTTTCCGCCACAAGTAGTGGTGACGTTTTTCTCATAAAAATGGGGATTAGCCCGTAGTGTCGAAACGAAAGTACAGATATTTTAAACTTGGCCGTACTGTCGAAAATCCCGCTGAAATATTTTTAAGTAGTCGAACAGCTAAGATCGTTGTTTATTTTACTTAAATAATTTACGATACCGAAACAAGATCCAACAGAAAACATAATTAATTGATTTGGTGGGAAATATCTAGAATCTAGATCTCTAGATCTTTTTGTAGAAAATAAAATAGATCTTGGCACTGATTAGTAAATTACACAATAATTACATCTACATCTACATCTCTATTTTAACGTATTTTATTCCCCGTTTCACGTTCACCTCCAGTTGAGCGTATTTTATTATTAATTAATTTAATAATAGGCCTAATTAATTATAATAATTAATATTACATTATTAATAATTAATTTCTAATTTATTAATATTTTTTTTTTATTTATAACATTTTTATTGATAACCCTTGCCTTAGCTAGCATAGCACGGGTGGGGGGTGCAGACTGCACCAGATGACACTATTTAAGGGGGTGACACCAAGGCAAAAAATTGCAAAATATACAGAAGAAAAATGTTGTTTTGCCAGTCCCATTAATGATTAATTAAAGTTAAATAGTCTTTTAAGTACAAATTGACAATTATTACCAGAGGGTGGGGGTGATACCATGTCGTAAAGGTACTAAAGTACTAACTATTAACTATAGAGAAAACATTGCTACATCCAAGTTCCAACTGTATTATTAACAGACTAAAGATAAACCTCGTTACTTGGGTGACACCCGATCTAGCGATGCCATTGGGCCTTAGACGTAAGCACTTTATTTAAATTTTTACTAATTTCAAAACTTTAATCTTCAGGTTCTCTCAACATGGAGACAGGAATAAGACAGACACAGGGACAAAGATACCAACAATGTTCTAGAACACTGCAATCAACTGATTTACAACCCTCTGTATTCAAGTGGCTAGAGTACTACCATGTATGTTACTTTATTTAAGAGTTAATTGTTCAGATCCCTTTATGTGACTTCTGTGGGGTGGAGGACTATACTACATTCTAAATTTTAAGTATTCCATTTAAGAGTGTAAACTAAATTAAGATATTAGTAATATTATTAGTATCACTTTTAAGTACCATTTATACTGTAGTATAATAAAGTAAACTGATCTTGTCATTGTTTTGCAGGTGTTTTGTGCTTATGGGTTTATGATTACAGTAAAAAATAAAACCAAGTGCTGTGATAGGTTGAAACAAACCAGGTATGATTGTAAATATGAAAGAATTTCCAATCTGATTTAATTAAAGGTGAATTTTATTGTACAGACTTTTGTTGGTAAACTAATTGCATTATAACAGTAAAAAATGTAACACTGAATAATAAAGCTGAATGATAAATTAAAAACCATTATGTAGAGCTGAACTGTTGTGATTGTATTTTGTTAATTTTTTTTTATTTGTACATGTAAGCTTCCTTTCAGGTCCATGGGACAGATGGAGAGATCATGAGTTTCTCTGACTTTGGCATAGGAAGGGATAGTGTAGTCAAGTTCAATACAATGCTCAGCCACCTTTATTTTCCCAACCAGTTACTAGAGCCCATTATTAGAACTTGAGACTATCAGGTTAGTTATCCAATGTTCTGCTACTCACATACACTGTATTATTTGTATATAGTTATATTTTATAAATCATTTGTTTATTTATCATTGTGAATTTAAGGTTACACTAAACAAGCACCAACTGTACTGCAATGTACTTCCCAATGAGAAGTGGGGTGCAAACATTTGATTTAAAGCAAATTATGTAAGGTGATGGTGTGGCTTAGCTATGGAGCAAGACGGTATAACCCAAAGTCTCAAGTTTGAATCTGGATTCAAGTCAGCAGAACTTCCCTGAGTTCACCCAGCTGCTCTGATAGATACCTAACTCACGTTAGGAAAAGTAAAGGAGACTGGGCATAGTGCTGACCACACTATCCCTTCATATGCTGAAGTCACAGAAACAGCTTATCTCTACTGCACTTGCCCCATGGACCGGCAGGCTAAATAAACTTAAGTGATGTGATACAGATATTTTTAATTTGTTAACCAAAACATTTTGTTTGTCTGCAGCGAACCTGGATTAATAAAACAGTGAAATCTTGCTGGAAGGTGCTATCACAGTATAACTGGTAACTAAACAAAAATTTTGATGCTATTTTATTTTAATATTTAGTAGGGCTATATATGAGTTGAACTAAACTAAAAAAGATATTTTCATACATGAACTAATATGTGGACACTATTGATTCTAAATGTAAAAAACTCAGATATCTTACTGTTAATTCAAAATGTGTGCTATATCAGTCAGCATGTTTGCCAAAGCCACATTGTCAAACAAATGTTTGAAATAAAGGGTAGACCTTTGTAGACAATCTTTATTTTAGTACAATTTCCACACTCAAGATATTTCAGTTTTAATATGTCACCATAACAGCAACTGGTGGAGGGCGTCTCTTTAAAGATTAAACAGTTGTCTTTATTTTCTTACAGAATGTGTATTTTTTGTTTCCCAGGATTTACCAGCCTGAGGATTAAGGCGTCTCTTCAAGATGGATGTTAGAACATCACAGATGGTTATTTTTTCAGCCCACCTGATGTTCAGTTTGCTACACAGCCATTCATTATTGAAAGTCTCAGAACCATAGAGGAGAACAGATTTTACATTGCTGTTCAACAGTCATATTTGGAAAACTGTAGACAGCTCTTGACATCCATATTGTGCGGAGGATGTTGGATACTTTGCTGATATGTCTTTTGATGTCCTCATCTGCTCCCCCATCTTCTTACAACAGATCCTAGATGTGTGAAGCGATCCTGCTCCAAAATAGTCATTTCTTGTATCCTAAGTGGAACTCCTGTTTGTTGTTGATTCTTATCTCTTCTGTTTTTTCCAGTTGATCATTAAGCCTATATTAAGAAGGTTCATCATAGTTTGCTTAGCGTGGACTGGGCATGTTGTTGTCAATGTGAGAGTATAGCATCCTCAATATCTAGACCTCCAGCTAAGTGAGGGTCCACTGAATTCCACCCTTTTGGTCTGATGTACTTTATTGGTGAAAAGCTTATACTTATAACATTTCTGTACTCACTGAAAAAGGGCTGGTTAACTTGTGGATAATCTGGCAGTTGGAGTCTTTGTGGAGGTGTTGGATACTATTGCTGAATTTCTTAGCGATTGAATGTGCAAATTCAATTTTTTCACTAGGTTGGCTTTCATGTAGAGATATTCTGCTACGCAGTATTTGTTTATAAATATGTGTTTCTATCTATATATATATATATATATATATATATATGCATATATTTATGTTTGTGTGTGAAACTAAGGTCTAGTTACACACAGTCATATAATATTAAAAACTTGTTAGATTAAGATGTGGATTAGAGATTGTCTGTTGCCATCAAATTTTTATTTATTGTGGAGGTTGTATGTATTGATTCCATTTTGTCTAGTTATTGAGCATACTGAAATCTGATAATATTGATTTATCTATCTACTTACTTGTCCACTTGTAACCTATATGATCTACTACTTAATTGTAGCATCAAAAGTATTCTTTTAATGTGAATAAAAATTTTAAACAAGTAAACTATCGCTTCATGTTACAGTATAAATTTAAGTAGCCAGTTTGTGCACCTGTAATTTTCTTGTAGTGGGAGGGGGAAGGGCATTCATCTCACAGTGAAGTAAACATGTCTGGCATTTACTATGATTTACACTAGTATTAGTAAAAGTAATTCAAGAGAATTGCAAATTGCATATTTTTATGCATCTGTATTGGGAGGTTAAAAAAAATAATTATGCACATTATCAATCTTCATATATATAGTTAACACATACATTAAAGTATAGCAAAGCAGTGACGTCGCTAGTTCGCACTCCACGCCCTCGCTACGCCTCTGTAGCAAAGTGTATATATATCCCACTGACAAGCTTTTAAAAATGTAGGGTACCAGCACAGGCGACAATGTCTCAATCACTAGTAAATAGGCTTGAAAGTACTACATGGACTTGTACAACTAATTGAGCTGTAATATGTTGCAAGATATGTATGGCTTGATGACACTGACAGGTGCTTAATAAAAAGCAAAGGATTAATATACCAGTGTGGTTTTTATGTACGAGAGGTTTATGGGGGGGGGGGGGGGTTAGGGCAAGTGTCTAATATCAGAAAGGGATGCTAGTTACGGCGCTTCATGAACAACGAGAGCTTCATTTATGACAGGATTAATCAGATTAATTTCAAACTTTTGCTTGGAGGAGGTGGATCACCTTTATTACAGAAGTAGGTGAGGATGTCAGATTTAGGGAATTTACAAGAGTACCCTAATGTTTGTTAGTAAACCGGTAATAAAATACTTTCTGGCTCTAACACCGATGTAGACTTCATGAACTTTATAAGTAGGTACTAGTTAGTTACACGTCAAGTATATTACTCGTTAACTAAAATAGTGTTGTACATGTTCACCCCCGCAATCTATTTGCCGCTCTAAAAGGCTGAGTTACTCCAATGCCAACTTTCT